AATAACCTAGACATTTTGTCCTTTGCAAACATCTAACTTGTTTCAACATATAAGTATTTTTCCAATAGAACAATTCCCCTTTAAATTTTGATGAGAACAATGGCCTTCATCCTCATATTGACTAGTGAATTGTTCCAACCATGCCAGAAAAGCAGAAAATTAGTCTACTTCTAAATTAAAGGTAGACTGGATGCCATAAACACTACTAATTCCAGCAGGGGAAACAGGAGAAATAATTACTGTCAAAAATAATTCACTCAATTAACTGAGGGCCACAAAGCACCGGCACCTTTTGTCAAAGTTAGTTTGTATTATATATGAATATTAATAAGTCTGTTTCTATTGTGGAAACAAAAGATATTTGCATATCATAATTCCAATGTACTGCTCTTCAGAGGCTCATTACCAGAGAGGTACTTCAAATGCTGCTTAGAAATTCATGAAAGAACGCCATGAAACCAGATCAAATCTATTTAAGGTTAAATGCCCTGTCATGCTTTGCTGAGCACAGTACCATGATGAATTTGCTTCCCCATCTGTTCTTGCTATTTAGCCTAACCATTTGGAGGGTTAAAAGCAAACAGATAGATTTCTGATTGCCTGGTTTCATAATCAGGCTCTCTTGCACCTCCAAACACCCAGTACAGGCAGCAATGTTTAGTAAATGGAAATGATTCTTCTTCGTTGCAGAGGCTACTCTGAAGAAGTGCTGCAGAAAAACAAGAAGCTAGCATAATGAATCAGCACTAGAAAGACCACAGCTGTCGAGTTACAAGAGGAGAGATACGGGGGAAATGCGGTTGGAAACTTCAGCACAGGATTGAAGTCCCAATGGCTTTACCCAAATACAGGGCTGAGCTTGTGTCATGCTCAGTTGCAAGTTAAAGAGATGCAGAATGGCATACAGAAAGCGCTACTTTGTTGACCAGGCAAGATTAGGAGGGTATTCCTGTTCACACCAGGTCTGCCAAACAGGTAAAGGTAAAGGATCCCTGGGTGGTTAAGTTCAGTCAAAGGAGACTATTGGGTTGCGGCACTTATCTCGCTTTCAGGCCGAGGGAGCCAGCATTTGTCCACAGACAGTTTTCCAGGTCATGTGGCCAGCATGACTAAACTGCTACTGGTGCACAGAGGACCTCAACGAGTGCCAGAGCCCTCAGAAACGCCATTTACCTTCCCGCCAATTACCTTCCCACCTATTTATCTACTTGCACTGGTGTGCTTTTGAAGTGCCAGGTTAGCAGGAGCTGGGACAGAGCAACATGAGCTCACCCCGTCGCAGGGATTTGAACCATTGACCTTTTGATCGGCAAGTCCAAGAGGCTCAGTGCTTTAGACCAGTGTTCCCCAAGCTTGGGCATCCAGCTGTTTTTGGACTACAACTCCCATCATCCCTCGCTAGCAAGACCAGTGGTCAAGGATGATGGGAATTGTAGTCCAAAAACAGCTGGAGGCCCAAGGTTGGGGAACACTGCTTTAGACCACAGTGCCACCCGCGTCCCGAATAAACAAGCACACAATCGCTGATAGGTCCACCTGCCATTGTGAGGCTCAAAGCAATGAAGATGATGCCTCCCCAGCTGTTGCCATTGGCTGTGGGTTTCTTGTGATGTCACAAAAGCACTTGGCAACTGAGTGGATATAAAGGCAGGCCAAGGGGAAAGCCCTTTTCTCTTTCCAGCAGGACACACCTGGCAATGGATGTGACATTCAGCACTGCCCAGGTTTCTTCTATTTGGAGGAGGCAAAGTGGTGAATGGAAGGAGGCAATCCTCTGGCAGTGGGATGCTAGGGAGCGATAAGGGAGCCCAAGAGGCTTGGTGGTTTAGACCACAGTGCCACCCGTGCCAAACATAAGGTGCTATTCTTTCACATCTCTATTCTGACCTGTCCCTAAGAAGGCACCAAATCCTGAGCATGCTCAAAGCCAAGAAGTTCACTAGGTTAAGTTCCAGCCTCAAACCATATGGCTCCCAGTTCACACTCATTAACTAAATGTATTTCCAAATTTTTTCAAATACTTAAAAAGGGTAATAGAAGCAAGGATATTGGATGCCTATACTCCTATATCCCCAGAGAATAGGACAAAATCAACAAACACCAGGGCTAGGTTTGAAAAAACATAATGTTCTGAGGAACTACCGAAAGAAAATTAAAGACTGATTATGTATGCAACGACGGCAGCGAGAATGCTTCTAGCCCAGAGATGGAAGGAAGGAAGAAGTGCGGACCAGAGAGGAATGGCAGACCAAACTGATGGAATATAGTGAGGCTGACGGGAAAGATCAGAAACCAGGAAGATCAAGTATTCCTAAAATATCGGAATAACTTTTTAACATACTTAAAAGGCCACTTTAGACAGTTAAAATCATTGGCAGGGAGACAATGATACTTGTAATGTGAAATGAATTTTGGTTACTATGATTATGTAACAGATAGATAACGGTAAAAGATGCAGAAAAAAAGAAAAAAATCTTTGTAAATGGAACCCATGGAGGGAGGGGAGGAGCTCTGTAGATTCGAAAGAACCTTTTTATTTTTTATGTTTTGGAATGGTTACAGTTATTGTGTAAAAATTTATGTAAAACCAATAAAAAATTATTAAAAAGAAAGAAAAAACATAATGTTCAAGTGACGATAGCTATCAATTGTACAGACAGAGAAAATGTGAGCAAATCTTAAGTTTTTTAGACATGAAGTCACCAGCTCAGATGACATATATGTAGATTGCTTTTTATACAGAGCTTTTTCTGGTGGGCAAAATACTAAAAGTGAAAGCTAAAATCCTAATTTTCACATTACAATGCTCTCTATTTCTGCCACAGAAGTTTTCATGGCTGAACTGGCATTTGCTGAGAGTGCCTTTAGGTACAGAACGTATCATCTACCATGCAGAGAGTTGGGCTAAATTGCACGCTGGCTAGATCCTTTCCAACTCTAATGCATGTTTGTCTCAGCACTAAATCGTCTCAGCACTAAATTGATTTATGGAGATTTGCCTCAAGGTCTTTAATGGCAGGGACAGCAGAAAGGAAAAGGGGAGGGGCATGCAAATGAGATGCTGTAAATAAAAATGAAGGCTGAATTCTGGTAGCTCACAACTACATTCACTGCAAAACAAGTACAGAATTTTTTAAATTTTATTTTAAATCATGCTGTGTTGTACACTCAGTTAAATTATGGGCTGTCAGTATGGCTTTATTTTACCTTTCTATATCAGCAGGATGGGGGTCAGCAAGATCATGCAGTATCAAAACAAGAATTAGATATGAGTTAAGTGTTTAAACATAATTTTGGCAAATTGTGAACGTCAGCAAACACCTGCAAGGCTACCTGCCTCTCTTAATTTGTGAACCCCTCAGTCGCTAGGCGTGCCTTTTACCATTTTCGGTTGGTAAGACTATGGGCCATTGCTGCATTGGGTAGATTGACAGCTGGAATTGTGCATGCACTGCCAGCCTCACAGTTGGATTACTGTGATGTAAACTGAATCCGAGCCAGCTGTATAGCATAGTACTGTACTGGTAAACCCCTGAAAGGGTAAGATCTCAGGCAAAAAGCAAATCCAGAAAGAGAAATTGCATGCATACAAACCTTCTGAATCTGAAATGGAAGGCAGAATTTGCACCAGTTACACGGAAAAGACAACCGTGCATATATGTAACATGCACAATAATTTGAAAATATTTTTTAAACAAATTAAAATATCAGTGCATTACTGAGCTTGATGGCAAATAAAGGTTGCCCAGAGTCTCCAAGGCTACAGCTGGCACAGGAGAAAATGTGCTCATTTCAGAAACATTGCCCTTTAGGTTGACATCTGTAGCATGCAGAAATAAGGAGACATAATGTATTCATAGTTGCTTTGACTCTTTGTGAGCACATACAAGGGGGAAATCAAAACAGACTCCAGAGATGCATATGAACATCTAGTTTTCATCCCTAATTAGAATCACTCTACAGTTGTTCAAAGAGAGCAGTTACTCAACGGGCCTAAGAAAATCAACACACACACACACACACACACACACACACACACAATTATTAAGTAGCACATTGTTAAAAACACAGTCTTTGGTTATTTGGTTCTTGCAGTTGTCTGACCATTACACCCAGAAATATTCAAAAGGAGGAAAACCCCCTATGCCAAGCAGTTTAGTCTGAAAGTGTTTGAAACACAGGTCCTTGGCCAGTTCTGATACAACATGCATGAAACAGGAATAGCTTGGTTCTGTGGCTTACCGGAATCACACAAACAATAGAAACTATGGCTTAAGGGGGTCACATGTACATGTGTATTGCTGGAGAGGTGCACATTGACCCTCCCCGGTCCTTTTTGTTTCCACCCTGAGCTAAGTAAAGGTTTGACTAAACTGGGACTCATGGTGAAGAACAAACCTTGCCTACAGCCAGTGGCGTAGCGTGGGTTGTCAGCACCCGGGGCAAGTAATTTGCGCCCCCTAACCGCACCGCACGCCTGGCACCGCCCCCCCACAGTGGGGGGCGACCCGGCGGCTCGGATCGGATTCGCACAGCCAGCACTGCAGTGAGAGAGAGTGAGTGAGCCAGGTAGGGGCAGAGAGCTGCGAGTGCGAGCGCGCCCCCCCCCCCCAGATGTTGCACCCGGTGCGGCCAGCCCCCCCTGCACCCCCACGTTACGCCACTGCCTACAGCTAATAATAATAATAAATTCTATTTATACCCCACCCTCCCCAGCCAAGACAGGGCTCAGGGAGGCTAACACCCGATATAAAAACAAATTGACTGAAATACAACTTAAAAACAAGATTAAAATACAACATTAAAATACAGCCTCATTTCAATGGAAACTCAAATCAAAAACTGGGGGGGGGGGGATGAAAACGTCAAGCCTTCACCAAGGCTAACTTTCCAGACTGGTCCTACATGGGCCAGGAAAAAGCCAGGGAAGTCCTCAAATAGGAGTTACATCACAGGAGGAGACAGGTAAAAAGAGGAGGGGCAGGGAATCTCTTACTCACAGGCTGAAGATATTCTAGGATGTGTCCAACATCAGAGTAACCAGGCCACAGAATCTTGCATAAACCTCTTGTGGAGTACCCCCTTTGTGTCAGTTCTATTCATGAAAACACTGTTTGTAGAAAACAAACACACACACACACACACACACAGAGAGAGAGAGAGAGAGAGAGAGAGAGAGAGAGAGAGATCACTAGGTTATTGCTAATGGTTTAGTGCAATATGAGCAATTTCTGAGCAGAGGTGGTTATCATCTGTCAGTGGCTAACAGATTAGCACTTTGAGTACCTTCTTACGCAAATCATGGACAATGTTTGATTAGTTGTTCACCCTGCATGTTAGCGATTTCACATTGCTTGTGACAAATGGCAATTTTATAGCCATTTCGACTATATGCAAGGCCTTGTTTTACTACTACATAACCCACTTTGGGATGCTCTGGTGAAGGATATTACCCAACAAATAAAGTGAAAGCTACTGAATACACAACAATATCCGCAAAAGACACCTGGCACTTATTTGTGTGGGTGTGGGTGTAATTTGAAGGAGAAAAAGAACCCTCTGGCAAATGGAAAGTAAAAACAATAACCAAAATAAGCAGCACAGACTGCTCTTTCCTATTGCCAGGTCTGCATGAGCCTATGTAAAAGTAAAGGTAAAGGACTGAACCATGAGGTCCAGTCGTGATCGACTCTGGGGTTGCGGCGCTCATCTCGCTTTATTGGCTGGGGTACCGGCGTACAGCTTCCGGGTCATGTGGCCAGCATGACTAAGCTGCCTCTGGCGAACTAGAGCAGTGCACGGAAACGCCGTTTACCTTCTCGCCGGAGCGGTACCTGTTTATCTACTTGCACTTCGTGCTTTCGAACTGGTAGGTTGGCAGGAGCAGGGACCGAGCAACGGGAGCTCACGCCATCGCGGGGATTCGAACCGCCGACCTTCTGATCTGTTTAACCCACAGCGCCACCCGCGTCCCTATGAGCCCATGTAAAGGTAAAGGTACCCCTGCCCGTACGGGCCAGTCTTGACAGACTCTAGGGTTGTGCGCTCATCTCACTCTATAGGCCGGGAGCCAGCTCTGTCCGCAGACACTTCCGGGTCACGTGGCCAGCGTGACGAAGCCGCTTGTGGCGAGCCAGAGCCGCACACGGAAACGCCGTTTACCTTCCCGCTAGTAAGGGGTCCCTATTTATCTACTTGCACCCGGGGGTGCTTTCGAACTGCTAGGTTGGCAGACGCTGGGACCGAGCAACAGGAGCGCACCCCGCCGCGGGGATTTGAACCGCCGACCATGCGATCGGCAAGTCCTAGGCACTGAGGTTTTACCCACAGCGCCACCCACGTCCCGGTAATGAGCCCATGTAGAAGGCCTTATATTCCATCCCATTTGGGGAAGAGATTCCTGCCTGTTGCAGATGCAGCACAGCACTTAGCAACGTAAAACATATAAAGGGTCTTCTGGGAAGCCTGAGGCTGGATGGTAGCAAACATCCCTCCATGGCAGCAGGAAGGAGCCATTTGGCAGCACCCTTGGAGTGCATATTTGAGACCACTCAAAGTGGATTATGTTAATCAGATGCCTACTTTCCTGACAGCCCTGGTTCAGTTTCATTCCGACCATTCCATTCCAGAAAGCTTTGGTACTCACAGTAGTGAAAATACTGGTATCTGCACCTTGTGCGCACAGAGACCCTGATTCCACTCACATCTTGCATGATAAACTGAACGTCACAGGAGTAGATACCTTTCTGCCTCTCATCCCCTGGCTGCAGTTCTCAGTCTACCCCTTTGTCACTCTAACCACCCTGAGAGAGATTAAGATAAAGTGGCTAAGCTTTTCTCAGTCTAGATTAATTTAACTACCTTCTTTTAATCCAATCACAGTTCTTTAAAGGAGTGGTAAAGGGATGGGTTTTCACATTGTCTGTTATTGACAAAAGTGACTCTCAGTGAGAGAATATGAGTAGGAGACCTAGGAATTGTTGTTATACCTAAGAAGAATGGCAACTTAAACAGCTGGAATACATGCAGCTTGACAACTTAACATATAGAATAAGAGAACAAGAAGAACATAGGTTTAAAGAAGATTGAAAAAATGCTTATTGGAAATATGGGGGGATTGTGTACACGTGGAAACGTTGGCAGCATTAAGATAAATTCAACAGTGTAAAAAAGTTTTGATGGATGTAGTAATGGAATACTGAATAGTTTAGTTTATGTAAAATATGCAGGGATTTATGTTATGCAAAATGAACCATGGAAAGAGAAGAAGGGAAGTCATTGATATTTTAAGGTTGTTTAAATTAATATTCTACAAGGTAAAACAGAAAAACGTAATAAAAATGATACCAAAAACGGGAAGGAATTGTTGTCATAAGGTTGTCATCGTCACCGAAACAGCATTACTTGGAAGTTCCTCTATGTGACTTTACAGCAAGTCCAAGTACTTATATCTGACATATCAGCAAAATATACTCAAGTCAGCTGTCCAGCTCAGTCCTGGAGCCAGCATGACATAGTGGATTGTGAATGGTCTTAAGAGACCACGGAGAAACCCCGCTCGGCTACGAAACTCTGTGGGTAACTTTCAATCTAATTTGCCGCACAGGAATGTGAGGATTAAAGCTGGGGAGGGGGAGAGGGAGAACCTTGAACTGCTGGCAGCTTTCTTCTGAGCACAAACAGTGGTTTCGGGAAATGGGAATATTGATCAGGACCACAGTGTAGGAGGGGAGGAGTTTCAGGATGCCTCCTCCACCAATCATAGCACTCCCAATCATAGGAATATAGGAAAGTGGCCTACTCTTGCCTAAGTCATAGAATTGTAGAGTTGGAAGGGACCCTGAGGGTCATCTAGTCCAACCACAGTCGTACCATTGGTCCATCTAGATCATATGGGAGGCGGGTGGCACTGTGGTCTAAACCACTGAGCTTCTTGGGCTTGCCGATCAGAAGGTCGGCAGTTCAAATCCCCGTGACGGGGTGAGCTCCCGTTGCTCTGTCCCAGCTCCTGCCAACTTAGCAGTTCAAAAGCACACCAGTTCAAGTAGATAAATAGGTACCGCTGTGGCGGGATGGTAAACGGCATTTCCATGCGCTTTGATTTCCATCACGGTGTTCCGTTGCGCCAGAAGTGGTTTAGTCCTGCTGGCCATATAACCTGGAAACCTGTCTGCGGGCAAACGCCAGCTCCCTCAGCCTAAAAGCAAGATGAGCACTGCAACCCCACAGTCACCTTTGGCTGGACTTTACCACCCAGGGGTCCATTACCTTTACCATCTAGCTCATGGGTAGGCAAACTAAGGCCCAGGGGCCGGATCTGGCCCAATTGCCTTCTAAATCCCTCACGCGGACAGTCCGGGAATCAGTATTTTTTTACATGAGTAGAATGTGTGCTTTTATTTAAAATGCATCTCTGGGTTATTTGTGGGGCATAGGAATTTGTTCTTTTGGTTTTTTCCAAAATATATATATATTTTTTTAAATGATATTTATTAGAGGTTTAATAGTTACAGAAAAAAGAGACAATAAAAAGTTAAACAAAACAAAACAATACCTTACAATACATCAAAAATAAAAAGAAAAACAAAAAGCAATACAACAAAACAACAAGAAAAACAAAAACATTTAAAAACACATCCAATATTCCGTATCTTTACCTTTCATTTACTTGTTTCATCAACCTCCTCACACCTCCCTTTTTTGTATTCTAGTTCAAATTAGCTATTTCAGCAAATCCTTTCCATCTTTCTCAATTTTTGTTCTATAATTTATCTTAACACAATCTAACCTTAAATTTTCCACTTTGGCCCATTAACAATCTATTTTTACTTAATTCTTTATAACATTTCTGCTAAAGCCATATAACTTCATTGTTTTTTTCCAAAATATAGTCCGTCCCCTCCAGGTCTGAGGGACAGTGGACCGGCCCCCTGCTGAAAAAGTTTGCTGACCCCTGATCTCGCTCATTATTGTTTACACTGACAGGCATCAGCTCTCCGGGTTTCAGGCAGGAATCTTTTACCAGACCTACTTGGAGATGCTAGAGATTGAACCAGGCATTTTTATTTTTGCATGCAAAACATATGCTCTACCACTGAGCAACTCCAGGAGTCCCCTGTGATGCTTTTCAAACACACACCTGCAAATGCACAACACATTAAAAATGGCATGTAGCTTGAGCTTTGTTCTTTCTGCAGTTAAACAACCTGCTTAATCCTGTGGTTACTCTTGAACCCCCAGCTCTTGTGCCCTTGCCACAAAAAGGACTCTTTGGATAATGGTCCTTCCTTATCTTCCTAACTGCAGCAACTTAAGCTTCCAGAAGCAACATAGATCCTAAGCTCAGTGGAGCTGCATCTGTATTGGCAATGACAACTGTTTACAACATTTCACTCAAGTCACCCCTAAGCCCCACCCCAAAAAATGTTGGTGTGTATAATGGAGGATAAACACTAAGATCCAGATTATAAACACGTAAAATAAACACTACTTTATAAATATGCAATAAATGCACCATTTAATATGCCAGCAAGGGTGTTATGCTCCAGAGGTGGTAGAAACTATGTGGGAAGTCACAGATTCCCTTAGGGTTGCAACAATTTGCCAGTTTGTGGTATGCTGCAGCAGCAGAAAGTGATTTAGAGAACTGGAAATAGGAACTTTGCACTGACACACTGTAATCTCTGCAAAACTACCCATATGAGCAGCTCTGTCAGTGATTTCAGTTTTTAAGTTCAGGAAACACAGTTTGCTACTTGAAGAGAACATCCTAAAAGACAGGCTGACAAGTTCTAAGCAGGCTTCCCTTTTTACCTAAATCATTTGTATCAAAGTAGTGCTCCTGTTGTGACCCACCTTGGATTAGGCCAGGCTTCCTCAAACTCGGCCCTCCAGATGTTTTTGGCCTACAACTCCCATGATCCCTAGCTAGCAGGACCAGTGGTCAGGGATGATGGGAACTGTAGTCTCAAAACATCTGGAGGGCCGAGTTTGAGGAAGCCTGGATTAGGCTGTGCCCAAGTGGGTCTTGACCCACCGCTCGATAACCAATGCTATAGTGTGTATATACAGAATCAGAAGATACCTTCCCTGTCATCTTACACATCTCATGCATCTGATGAGACTGAAA